GACGCATCGATCTGTGTATTTTGTGTAGGTTCTGACGTCTCGTATGGTACGTCAACGTCGACCCGAGGTCCCGTGCGCCCTGACTCTGATACCTCCACTCTTCCAACGGGCTGACAATGATTCTGCCGTATACCCACCGCGCTTGTTCGTGTTTGGCACAACAGATTGGCTGGATGAATTTTTGCAGCGATTCCCAAGCATTGCCACGATTTATGTGTTTACTACGGTAAACGTGTCAAAGGTATCGTGCCAGGAACTGCTTTCAGGGGGAAGACCATGGTTCTACAATTATCCGATTTCGGGCATTATTATTTTTAATTCACATATCTCGTTTCAGTTTGAGGACTTTTTCCTGTCTGAGATGATGCCATCTTCGACCATTGTGCTCCGCATCGCTGTTGATCAACCATTTTTGGTCCCCAGAAGGATGCGCTACATTGCTTGGGCATCAGCTGAGGTCGAGGCCGAGGACGAGGCCAAGGCCGATGACTGGATGTCTGATTTGTCGTTAAGGGATCCGTGCAACAGATTCGTCCGCATGATGTTCACGATACGACCACGAGGCACGACGCACGTGTTTTCCGTGCCAACGTTTTGCGACTACGACGCTGGGGACGCTGGGCAACCCAGCATGGCAAAGGCTGAACTGCTCGGCGTCTGGTCACCCGGCGCCGGCTGGTCGGCCCCGCACGTGCCCATCTTCCCACCGCTCTGCGCCTCCTGGCGGCCCCCACCGGACGGAGAGCCCCTGCTCGCGGAGATGTTCATATTTGGTGGAAAAGCTACTACAGTGGGCGACTTCACGAGGTCAGAGGCGTATGAGATACTACGGTTGTTGAGAGACTCCTCTGGCTTGGTGTTTCAGACAAAGTTTCGGGCGCCACCCGCGACGATGGTTTTGATGCCGTTCATCGCAGCAGAAACGTGCCGCCTCGACGTACTGGCATTTCCAAAAAATTCTTACCCGCCTGTAGGCACTGAGTTTCACTCGGAACTAAGTTTATTTCCATGGGGGCTCGACCACTCTGTGTGCGTAGTGCCGGCCGGCGCAGGCAAACCGCGCCATGTTCTGTACCCGATAACCGCCGAGTACACACCCGCTGTTTGGGCTGCGCTTGCGGCCGTGGTTCTCACCGTGGTGACCTGCCTGTACCTCATGCGTCACGACGAGAGTGTCCAGGAGCTAGTCCTCCAGACGCTCTCGCCTCTGCTGGGGCAGCCGTTACGCGACAGGTGGACGGGGCCGCAGATAGCCGTACTCGGGGGATGGCTGCTGACCTGCTTGGTTGTGGTTGGCGCGTATCAGGGGCAGCTCCTGAGCTTCATCACAGTTCCTCCCCAAAACAGAGAGATCAACTCCTGGCAGGACTGGCTGGAAAGCGACTTAGTTTTACTAGGGACAAACCGGTTTTCAATATCATATGCCCCTGATGATGTTCTGTACGGTTTGACAGAAGATAGATTAGTTCGAAGTACTGCTGTACTGCTGAAATCTGCTTTTGAAATCATCGCGACTCAGCGGAATGCTAGCTTCATCATAAGCAAGCATGGTTTTGACATAGAATCATCGCAACTATCGGAAGTAGAGGAAGAATATTTAAGTAGGACACACACTTTTGTTGTGAACACCGCAATGGCTCAATCCAATTTTTTTACCACAAAGGGGTCGCCGTTCGAAAAACCCCTTCGGAAACTATTAGGGCGTATTCACGCGGCCGGTGGTCTCCGTCAAAATCCAAAATATAAAAAATATCTCCCACAGGCTACGGACGACGTACCCATTTCCTTAATTAATGTAATGCCTGTCTTGGGGGTGTATATTGCCGGTAACATTTTTGCAGTGTTTACTTTCCTACTTGAATTTTTTCTGCCAACCGAAAGAAAATATTGTTGTATATAAACGCCGCGAAAACCTTAAAATCAGTTCAATAAACACTGCACTGTACACTACACTG